AATACTTCACAATTGTTTATACTTTCATCATGAATACAAATATTTAATCAAAATAATTTTTGTTAATTTATAAATTTAAATTTTGTAAATAATCATTTTGTAGACTTCTCTTGTAGACTTCTCTTGTGGACTTCGCATGTAGACTTCGCCTGTAGACTTCTATTTCACAATGTACACTTCGCAAAGGGTAAAATGGTAACTGAGACATCCGTTTTTTTCTTTGGTCATAAAGGGTCTAATTGTAATTTCACTACCCCTTAGGGTTAGTTTTCGCAAATATGAGATGTGGGGTTTAGGTTTCACATATAAATGAATTTGTGGGTTATTTACAGCAATTTTCCCAAAAAAATAAGCATGAAATGTCAACACACAAAATCAAGGGCTACGTATAAATTGTTACATAGTAAGTAGTCAAATGATGCATGCATGTATCAACACGTTACATGATTCATCATCTATTGCATAGGTTTGAATCGAGAAAGAAGCAGTGATTTTGTAGAGAAAACACTTGAATCATTCTTTTTAGTTTGGAGTCTTATTAGAGAAAAATGATCATATATATACTTGATTAACTCCCAATATGTGTTTAGTGTGAGTCTTCCTTTTTCCTTTGCTTACGTAACTTGAACTTCAAGAACTCAAGAGTCAAGATGACTAGCAAAAGTAACTTTAATCATTGAATTAACTAATTTTATGAAAACGTTTTAAACCTTTTTTTTCTTTGAAGAGAGACTATTCCATAATCCATACATTAATCGCATATATAGTCAGTCAATAACTAATCATGTGACAAAAAAAAAGTCGATTGTTAAATCATTATTCACCGAAAAAACAAGATGATTTTGTTTGGTTCAAGAGGATTTGGCTTGAACTAGGATTTGGCTTCGTATATCAAGATTTTTATTATCATTTATCGGTTGAGTTACAAACACTTGGAAGAATTTTTTTATAATAAAGTTTGTAGAAAAATTAGGATCTAGAAGGCGTCCATTACCTATAATATATACACCAAATTTGTTGGATTTTTGTTAACTTTAATTAAAGCAAGAAATAGGCAAAACGTCCACGCACAATTGGCACAAATCTCTTACTAATCCATCCACTAAAATCTCCTCTCTTAATAATCTATCCCGCGTTTCTATCCCTCACTTTCACAACCAACAAACTAACGAACCCTCTATATTGATCGTCCTTAAACCCCAAACATTACTATACAAATCTCAAAATAAATAAAAAGAGAGAGAAAGGGGAGAGAAACAATATTGGAAGTTGATAAATCGTAGTAAACAAGAATTAAGAAGAAGAAATTTTCATTTTAATTCAGGGAAAAAAAAAAAGATGATGAGATTTTGGATTTAAATGTTTACACGTTATTTAAGTGTTTGTTCATGAGGTTCATCATCGCTTTCACAAATTTGAAATGGCAAACACAAAGTCAAGGGTTAACGTATGATTTTACCATAGTACGTAGCCAAATGATGCATGCATATAAATAAATCATGAAGTTGTTGTGTGTAAGAATTTATCAACACCGTCACATGATTCACCATCTATTGCAAAGCTATGTATTTTATAAAAATATATATATTAATTCTGTAAAGGGAAGACTTGAAGCCCGAATCATTCTCAATGATTTTAGGGATTTTTGAATTCAAAATTTATAATATATATCATGTCCAAGTTATTGTGAGAAAGTTTGGAGTCTCATAATTATAGTGATATGAAGTGTGCATACAAAATTTTAGTTATATACAAAAATCAAGATCAGCATCTTGTACAACCATTTTAAGTTGAATAATGAATATACAATCGTTATCCACAATCAGTATACGAAGAGGAACAAATAGCAAGAGTAATAACAGAATACTTTCAAAGCCTATTTATCTCACAGAATAGAGAGAGAGCAGCTACAATTGTCAAAGCTCTCCAACTTTG